TGCGCAGGGCGGTGGCGGTGGTGCTCGCCGAGGGGGGCTCCAGTGAGGCCCAGTCAACGCCCTGGATGCCGTAGCGGCGGAGGTGCCCATCCTGCAGCCCCCGCCGACGTCGGCCAGCACGGGGAGCAGAACGAGGCAGGGGCACCAGGACGCCATTCTTGAAGGTCATGGGGGGCCCCCATGTTCCGGAAACGCCGTTCCGGGACATGGAGGTCGCGCATCATGTCATCTGCATGCTGCTGCCTCTTGGCCACGTCGTCGCCGAAGACCCCGCGCCAGTGGCCTGCCAGGGCGCGCTGGACGTCCTTCTCCGACCTGGCGACGGCGCCGCCATCGAGCTCGATGCCGCCAAGGAATCGCCGCGACGAGGATGGGGCCCACAAGGCCGCACGGCGCCGCAGCGCTCTCTGTTGCCTCATCATGGCTGCCTTGATGGATTCCCGCTGCTCGTCGTCGATGTCCTGCTGCCGCTGCCTCAGCTGCGCCTGCGCCTCTCGGTGCTGCGCCAGCCTGTAGCGCCGCGAGAACTCCTGCGGCTGCAGCAACAGCGCGTGTCGCCCAGCCCCGCCTGGTCGGTCCCGCAGGTCGATCAGCTGGCGCGCCCACTCATGGGCGCGGAGGAGGGCCTCGGCCATCCGGATGTCCTGCCGCCAAACCGCTCTGCCAAGCTGCCGCCAGATGAGGGCCGTCGGAGCCTTCTGGCCAGGTTCGCCTTGAACGATGGCATCCCTGGCTGCAGCAGCAGCCGCCTGCAAGAGCTTCGTGTAGTAGCGCACGCGATCAGGAGGAGAAAGACCAGAGAGACGGACGGCGAGCTCGTATGACTTGATCATCTCGACAAACTTCGGGCTCTCGGAGACGAAGGAGGGAATGGGGTTGATGACGCCCGTGGTGGGCCGCTTACGCGGCGGGCGAGGCGCCCAGGAGACCGAGAACATCGCATGGTCCGAAAGGCCACGGAGGTGTAGCTCATGTGGCCCACCATGCACTTGCCCATGCTGATGCGTCTGTGTGATCATCCACTTGGGCGAGCCGAGCCAGATCTTGTCGGTCGTTGTGGCTATCTGACGCCCTTGGCGCCAGTGTGCCGGCTGGCTCGGAACCACCTCCGTGGCGGCCGCCAGCGCCCGGGTCCGAGCACGACCTCGAGGGTGGGTGGCTGCTCGGCGCCCTCCGCCTGGCACCAGAGGGCCCTCCACCTCCACGTTGTCGCCGCAATGAAATCGCCCGCGGTCACCACGCAGCAACGTCTTGGATTCAGCTCTATGTCGCGGAGATCGCTCTTGATGGCTGCCGCAACTGTCGCCGCCTGTTCCCGCGATAGAGCATGGTCATGAATGCTCCCGTGCCTCAGCGAGTAGCCCTGGTGGCGGCCCGCTGCGACCGTGGCGGTGACGCGAACCACCCGCGCCCTGATGCAGAACGTCTTGCGCACGTCGAGGCCCTCTCGAGCCTTGAAGGGGAAGATGGCGGCGACGCCCCCGAGGGACTCGTCCGCGTTGTCGCCGAAGGAGTAGAACATTTGGTAGTCCAGCCCCGTGCGATCTATCAGCATACGCAAGCGCACGGCCGACCCGTGGGCCTCTTGCATACCCGCGATAGCCCCTGCGCGGAGCGCAGAGCCGAGGCACCCGCTCTTCTGCGCCGCCACGTCCGCCTTGTAGCAGCAGGATGCCCGCGCATTCCAAGTGGCGAAGGTGAGCCCCTTGCTCGCCGGGGCGGCGAAGAGCCTAATGAACGTGCTAAAGACACCAATCATCATCATCATCATCATCATCATCATCACCACCATCATCATCATCATCATCATCATCACCATCATCATCATCATCATCATCTTCACCATCTGGGGCCAGGGCCGCGTCGACCGTCGGCTCGAGGTCCTCGCGGCGCAGGCCGACGGCCGCCAGCGATGACGGTGGCCAGACCACCACAGGCTCGGCGTTGGGGCCGTCGATATTGAGGCGGAGGAACGACTTCCACTGGGTGGAGAGAGTGAACTTCTGCTTATCCACGAAGATGCGGTGCCCCTCGCCGACGACGCGCCCCAGCGCGATGGCGTGCTTCTCGAGCGTGAGTTCGTGCAGCACCTGCTTGCGATCCTGGTCGGCTGCCACATAGACATCAGCTTCGTGCCCAGCAGGCGCAGTGGCCCGAGGCTTGCGCCACTCACCGCGGCCCAGGCGCACGCAGCCCAGCACCTCGGCAGCCCGCCTGGCCCCAAGCTCGGGCGGCCCCTTGAAGCGGTAGACGCAGCGCTTGCCGGGCGGCTCCGCCTCCACCGCGAAAGCGCCCAGACCCATGCCCGCGTCCACCAACATGGGGTCGATGGCCTGCTTGAAGGCGGCCGCGGGGGGCTCCTCCTTGCACCGCAGGGCCGCCGCGGCCATGTCAGGGGGCGGCCCCAGTCTGGCCCCGCTGGCGCGGCGCATGGCTCCTCGCGGGACACGATGCCCATCTGCTCGCGCAGCTGCGCGATGTCGTCACGCAGCCTCCTCTCGATGTCCAGCTGCGTCTGCTCCACTCCCTGAAGGCGCCCTTCCACCGCTCCGACTCGCGCCCTCCATGGCCCCTTGGATCTGAGCCAGGCCCGCCGTGAGGGTGGCGTCCACGCTGGCCACCGCCGCGCTGGTGACGGCGGAGGTGATGGAGGCCTGCACCTGCTGGAGCAGCACGGCCTGCGAGGACGTCTGCGGGGCAACCTCAGCAGCGCCTCCAGCACCGCCAGGCGCTGCAGCAGCAGCAGTATGAGTCCCAGGTGCTGCACCATGCCGACGGTCTCCGGGAGGATCGCCCGCGCGCGCAGGCGGGTGGCCTCGGCTGGGCCCCGGCGGCGACGCGGCGCCCAGCGGAGCGCCGCCGCTGTCCAGGTGGGTCCGCCACGGGTCGCCGCCAGAGCCAGCGGCGGGGGGCGGGGCGTCCCTCGCGGCAGCGCCAGCCCCAGCTCCATGTGGCACAGCTCCGCCACCTGCATCGCGCAAATCCTGCGACGGGAACGCGGGGCACATGTCGGGGTCGATCCCGTCTCGCTGCATATCGTAGGCCGCGTCCGCCGCCATCTGGCGCAGCTGCTCCTCGCTGGGCGAGAAGTTGGCGGCCCTCCTCTCGCCCTTGCCACGCCGCCCAGCGGGGCCCGCATGGCCAGCGGGGCCAGCAACAGCACCAGGGCGCACCAGCCTCCCGCGCTCCACTGGTGGCAGCTTGCAGCGGCGCTCAAACCCCCTCGAGTGGGTCTTGGAGGAGCGGGTCCTGGACGTCGAACGGCCGCTGCCGCTGCGGGAGCTGCCATCCGAGTCCATGCGGTGCTGATCGGGGCTCCCAGCTCCAGACGTGGCGCCGATGGGCGAAATGGTGTCCGACGTCTGCAGCCGCCGCCCTTTTACGACGGTCGGCAACGGTAGTCGAGGGTGCGCTCTCGCCCGGAAGGCACCCACCAGCGGCCTGGCAGGTGTCGGGCTGTCGCGGACAGGTGCCGAGAGGGAAGCTGTCCTGGCCAGTTGCCATCTGTCGGCGACGAAGGGAGGGGACGATCTCAGGACAGCACACATAGTGTAATGTATCGTCTTCACCATTTTCTGAGTTACAAGTAAAAACGCACCCAATCACAGGCATTATATAACGTCTCGTCGTCGGCCAAGCATTAAATATGGTCTTAAGCACACTAGTCAGCACAAAGGGGGGAGGAGGGAGCTTACTCTATTCAGCTGGGAGAAAATAGCACCAATCTCGGAGGAAATCCGCAAGGTAGGTAAGGTCCAGTATGATGAGGCCCGATGATGAAGTATATTGTGGGAAGTACCAGTATTCTGCATTTCATTGATAAGCGTCGTTAGTTATCGCTGAAGGGTAGAGGGCGGGAATTCGAGATCGACCGACGGGTGAGAGGAGTAGAACCGATAAGCCAACATCATGTGCTCCAAGACCGAGGACTCCTGAGCGGGTAAATATATGCTTGCCATAATCGCATCATCTGAATCACGGGGTTGGTCAATCCAGCTAGCGAGGGCATGAAATCGCCCACTGAGGTGGGCGGCACGAACAATGGTGGCGGCACAATATACTTTGAGGGATCTGCATTCCACTGGCATGCCAAGATATTTTAAACGCGTGTACGCCAGGGGAGGGATTGCGAACAGCGGAGCTCGAGCTAAAAATTGATGGGCATCGCGTTGTGCATTCAGCACACGAGAACTTATCTGGAAAACTGTGCAAGTTGACTGGTGACAGGGCTAACGTACATATTGAAGGCAACGATGTCTTCGACGAAGGGCTTTCATTTCACGGACCTGATGGGTACGCTGGATGAGTTTAGCAGCAGGAGGGTCCCAGGACCGCTTAGGCCCGTCCAGGCCTACCCAGACTCCCAAATATTTAGCAACGGAGTCTATCTTGAACTTGCCCACACGGGTCCCTTGGAGCCTGGACTTAGCGCGCACGTTCTCAATGCTGTCTAACCTCAGGAAGACTAGGACACACTTCTCAATATTCAATAGCAGGAGGAGAAGGAGGAGGAGGAGGAGGAGGTGGATGAGGTGGAGGAGGAGGGGAGGAAAAGATCCTGGGACGGGCGGGGTGCAGAGAAATTGAGAACCCCACTTTGGATTTGGGGACATATGTGGAGGCACGATCTTTGCCCATTTTCGGCCTCCAGGGGCCCTTACTGAGTCACGGGACTGTCAACAACGACTAAAAATTAAAGCCCAATTTCGGGGAAGGGGTCCAGACCTCTGGGGGTCCACGTTGCGAAAAGCTCATGACGTCGGATCTCTGTTCCACTCTGCCTCCAGAGGCCGAGCGCGGACCTCTGGGGACACCCGCTGCAGTCACATATTTCAATACTAGTGCAGACGCGTGCGAAACAAGATCTTCTATACCAACGTGTCTCTTGGCGCACCACTGGGGAAACATTCCTTCCGGCGGGACACCAGCAAGGCAGTTGTTTCCTTGATGTGTCTACTGCACATATTTTGGAAAAGTATGGGTTCGCTATCCCAGCACGCCTTTGGCACTTTCAAATGCTTCTGCAGATCATCGACGCTTATCTCCCCCCGCTGGTCGTAGTCCAGCTCAGCGAAGAGAGCGTCCATCGTCCTGACGAACTCGCGCTTGCCCTCTAGTTCGTTGTGGATAATAAACTCACGGTCGTTCTTCGACCTTTGGATTGTGCTGTCGATGAAGATCCGCCACCACGCTTGTAGCGGTTAGTACGCGTCGGCCCCTTGCTGTTTCGCTGGTTGCACCCTGTCTCTAAGCGATAATGAGGCCCCCTCCATCGACGCTTTGAACCCATCACACGCTCACTCATTCGACGAATTTCTTGACCCTAGTGCCTTTCAATACATCTGCGTGCGCCAAATTCGGAACCCCAGGTGGTGGGTTGCTCTATGCCCCCTGCTCCCTAGCCCTCCCGCCCCAACACTGCCCCCAAGCCCACCTTTCCCCAGCCACCCTCCCAAGCGCGGTGCCGGATGGTCGCGCTAGCGTGAGAGGATCGCACTGACGACATTCAGCATAGCGAACGTGGAGAACGCGATAAACACATAGAAGCACATCACGTACAGCACGGACACTCGCTCCAAGGGTATCACGACGTCCTCCCAGTCCACCCCGCCCGTGATCGACATGTACAGTGTGCATATGGAGCGGAAGAGGTCGCCATAGTAGTGCCTGAGTCGCTCATCTTCGATGGGTGCACCAATAGCCCCACGCTCGCGTAAGAATCCAGATGCTCCGTCCGTGAAGAAGATCGCGACGGTCATACATAGTAGCCCTATGATGCAAATGATCCATGCCAAAGGCACCAAAGCGCTGCACAACATGGAAACCATTATCCGCATGTCGCGAAGGTACACGAAAGAGCGCAGTATACGCAACACCCTGACCACTCGCAGCAAGCGTATAAGGCGTAGCACCGAAGTTTGCCTGAGGATATCGCCTTCGGTGTCAACCTGCTCCATGACTACGTCCGCGAGGGCGCCCAAGACCACGCCCACGTCCAATATGTTCCAGTTCATGTCCGCGGAAATGAAAAACCGTAGGCCTTGAGCCCACAACCGCAGGGCGAGGTCGAACGTAAATATTGCACAGAACGCGTACCTGGAAGCTTGGAAGTATCCGCCACCGTGCCGCTGGGCACGGAATGGGCGTGTCCTCAGGTCCTTTGCCCAATCCCCTGAGCCTCAGTCCTCCTCCAGAGGATTTGTTCTAAAGAGTTCGGACCCCAATTGCTGGAGTGCAGCGCGTCGGATTAGCGGAGCGCCGCTCCGCTAATTGGCCTCAAAGCATGCCCGCCGATTCCCGGAGTGCATCGTGTCGGATTAGCGGAGCGCCGCTCTGCTAATTGGTTGCAAAACATGCGAGCCGATTCCCGGAGTGCTCCGAGCTCCGAATCGGACTAGCGGAGCGCTGCTCCGTTAAGCCGCCTCAGGCGTGCTCGTCGAACCGGCGACTCCAGGAGTGCTCCGCGTCGGATTCGCGGGACGCAGCTCCGCTAATTGGCCTCGAAGTATTCGTGTCGACATTGCTAGCGTCGCACCTGCCTCCAGGAGTCCCCCGAGAGGCTCCCCACGATACCCCAACGAACATCCACGAGGCCACGCCCCCAAGAAGCCCCCGAGAGGTCCAAAAGAGTCCCCGAGAGGTCCCAAACCGGCCCCCAAGAGGCCACAACACTGCCTCCAAGAGGCCCCCCAGAGGCCTCCCACGAGAGCCCAACGAACATCCAATAGGTCCATACCCACAACCCTAGCACGGTGGCGGGATGGGCCGAAGGCGAGTAGATGCCGTGTCTCCGCTCTGTCCGTGTGCGGCCTGCCGCGCACTGTGGTGCGTCTCCCATGCGAAGCGCCGGCCCCGCGCTGGGGGCAGCGGGCGGCGGGACTCCTCCCTCTGACGCCCATGTTTCTTATGAGCGACTGTTCGCCGTCGCACCACCAAACTCGTCGGGGCGGCGGACCGAGCGGTCCGCCCGAGACTTCCATACAACGTATGCTCCAGGAGTTTGACATTTCCGATGCTGAACTACACGGATGGAGCTGGCATGGCTGTTTGCGCAACAAGCGCTTAGGTAAAAGAGTATGTCCGAACACGCGATCGACACCAGGACGAAGTAGGCCCCTATTTGAACACGTATTTGGTTGTTGCGTCTGTGAGTTGCTCGTCATCTGAATCGCCTTGCGGCAGCGGGGGCAGGAAATGCATGCGATAGTGACACCTCGCGTAACTGGAATCTAGGGGCTGAAGTGTCTGCACGATCGGCGCACTCACTTTGGTGGCGAGGCCTAGAAGTTATTGTTTCTAAGACAGCAATCCAACTACCCTGGGCCAACTCACCATTGGCGCTGGGACCCAAGCCGATTCCGGGGAACGAAATAGGCGCAAGGCGGGTGGGGGGAAGACCGGAATTTCGAGGGACGAGAGAAGGGGAGAAGGGCGGGAGGAATGTGTGAGTTACAGCAAGCAGGCGGGCACGGGGAGGTGGAGGGGCCGTTGGCGGTGGAAGGTGGGCGGGAAGGGGATGAAGACTGGGACACCGAGGGGAAGGCGTAGGGGTCGGTGAGCGGGGGGAAATGAAGAAGGGCTGGAGGCGGGGACGGGCAGGTGAACGAGGGGACGGGGATGTGGACCAAGGAAAGACGGGGGGGGGATGGGGACAAGGCGGAGAGGAAGAGGGATCCAGGAGGGGAGGGCGGCGGAGGCAAAAGACGAGAGCCCTCGCGGGATCATCAGTGCATTCGCCAGAATCGCCACCGCTCCAGCGACCTGCTCGAGGGGGGCAGGGCATCACCTGCGACTTCCCCCGCGGAAGGCCCGTTCCCCCTCATCCCTTCCTCATTTCCCTTCCGCTCATCGTCCCTTCTTCACCCCCTCACTCCCTCCCTCGCCCCATCGATCTGAATCTGATTGCATGCTTGGCGGCGAGCGCAGGCATGGCTCGGCATGCGCTGGGCCCTCATCGACTGGGCAGGCCGTGACTCTATATTTGAAGGGGAACGAGAAAGGCGGACCGGCGCCGGGGGGAATCGTCGACCTGGAATCGGAGATACATCGCTGGTAGATCTGCGATAGACCCCCGATAGCGAAACCCGTCGTTGTTCCTGGGCGGGGTGGGCTATGAAACCCCCAGCGGCGAGAAACGGACGATTGGGGGTCGATGCATCCCCCTCCCTGAGACTACAGTCAAAGCTGACAGTAAGAATGCGCGATAAGGATGCAAGCCCATTGGGCGCCTGTGCTGAAGCTTTTCCGGGCGCGGCGGGCCACCGAAAGCAGCAAAGGATGGACCCCAAAGGCAAGGATGCAAATAGGGGGCCACATGCGAACCCTACCCCTACCCCAACGATTTCTGAGGGGGAGGGTGGGGTTCACTTCGTTCGGGCTCCCGAGCGAAGTGAACCCCATCCTCCCCCTCAGAAATCGTTGGGGGTAGGGGTAGGGTTCTCATGTGGCCCCCTAGCAAAGGCACCCTTGGAAATGATGCCCATCCTTACCATCGGTTTCGACTGTACGACAGAAATCTTACGCCGCGGGGACTGCCTCGGGGCGGCTTGGAGCTTCAATCCCCCCCCAAGGCAGCGAGGTGGGCGGCTGCCCTGGTGTGAGAAGCGTCCCCCGCGGCGGACGACGTTTTGTCATTGCCGCACGCCGTGCGCTGGGCAGAAGGGGGATAGATCAACTCGGTCCCGTGTTCTGTTGCGGTTCTCCGCTGCCCCCGCCCTCCCCCCGGAACAAGCCCGAGGAACGCCGGGCCCGAACCGGAAGGTCTTCCTTCGTCCGACGCCTGACTACAGTAGGGGCCCGACCACAAGAAACCTTCCACAAGAAGCCCACCCCCCCGAGACCCCAAGATGTCCCCCGATCTTTGGCGTGGGATCGTCACGCCTTCCGTCGCAGAACCATCGAAACCCAAGAAGCCCAGGGCACCCTGCAGACGAGCAGGGTGCTTCTTGGCATGGGCCCACTGTGTTGGATCCCGCCCGGCTGGTCCACGGCCTCCCTTGGGGGGCCCTCCAGCGCCACGGCGCCCGCTGCTCTCGGGGGCTCGAGGGTCTCGCTCCGGATCGGTCGCCAGGGCCCCTCCCGGGGGGGCCGCCGTGGCTCGTCCTTCGCGCTGCCTGCAGCCGCGGCGGCGAGGGCCTCGCGACTGGTTTGTTTAAGACGCGTGTGAGACGCCGTCGTCGTCGCCGTCGTAGCCTGAGGGGGCACAGAAGTCCCGAGAGATCCCCGGAAGTCTCTGGAGAGGCAGGTGCAGGAGAGTGTGGAAGGAGGCGGAATGGAGGAGGCGGGAGGAGGTGGTCGGAGGACGGTTCAGGACGACTCACAAGATGAAGACAACATGAGTCTCGGAAAGAAGAAGCCGATCGAATGGGCAACAAACAGAAACTGCGCCATGGCTTCCGCGCGTCGAACTTGTGATGGAGTCCCTGAGACTCCGCACCACGGACAGCGCGAGGAGGACCTGACGGCGGCGAGTACTTCCCCGCGCGGATAGTCACCAAATGTTGCCGTCTCTTCGGGGAAGGCCCGCAACGCTTCACGAGCTGGCGGGGCTCGGTGGTGCAAGTCTTACCGCAAACCGCGCAATAGGTCGATGTAAATTTCAGCCAAACGTACAAGGTGTGGGAGTGGTGGTGCTCCTTGCTCCCAACCCGCCGAAGTCCCCGAGGAAGCAGAAACACGAAGGCACTACCAGGACAACAGCAGGTTAAACTTGCACATCGCATCCTGATTCGAAAGAGGTGACACTTGCGGCAATATTATATAGCACCCACCCCGCCCGACCCCAGGAATGATCCAAGTCTTGCAAAGCTCACGCCAGCTTCGGAGGCGAAAGCCCCTCTCTCTCAGGACGCTCGGAAGTCCACCGCTCGGACCGTAACCTCGCTGCCAGAGCTCTCCGCGCCCGGCGTCGGACCAGGGCCGGCCCGGCGCCCCGAGCATCGCTGAGGGGAGGGGGCTGAACCACGAATTCGCTTCCTCGCTGGCCAAGGCATCAGCGCACTCATTACCGAAGACAAGAAACCGCTGGGCCACAGGGAGGCTGGCCAACCTTCCTGGTGAGAGGGGCCCACAACAGCTCAACTCGACCTGGCCCACGAGCAGCAATCGCGGCCTGGATCCTGGCACAAAGGCCTGAGTTTTCCCCGCTACAAGGCGGCTCAGACGACGCGAAATTTATGGCCCAGGCGTCGAATAGCGGCTCATGGTCCGCGACGACTCTCACGCCCTTTTTACCGAAGCTTGTAAAGCCTCCGCGAGCGCAGTTTTCTCAGCTCTCGGCGCAGTTTGTCTTCGACCCCAGATCGAGCAACCCAAGCTCCAGACGGCCTTCCAAAACGCTCCGTCAGGAGCCATGCCAACAAGTCATGCGCCGACCCGTCAACGCCGAGAGTCACCCCCAACAAAAACCCACCCGACCCGCCCCCAAACAAGGCCACGAAACCCTCGGCGTTTCTGGGGATGGGAACGGCACCGAAGGATGCAACACAAATTCGCCCCAGGAGACTTATCTTCAAGAGTCGGGACCGCTCGGAACGTCCAGGGACTCCTCGGAGCTAGGAGCTCGGGCAGCTTCCACGGTTAACCTGCGCTCGCTCAGCTAAGCGACCGCTCGTCTCACAATCCCCATAGCCAACGTTGGCCTCGCAGGACCAAGATCTATGCACACGCCCCCTGAAGCTTTAAAGCACCTTTGGCATTGCGCCCAGACCTGGCAGCCTGCAGCGCGCCGCGACCACGAGGCCACTAGCCGCCCGCGACGATCGCCGCGTTCAGCGCCCAGTGGTCGCCTTCGTCGCCAGGCTGTACCTTGCGAAAATCGAAACAGATCTGGCGCGCGCCCGCACTGCCGGCCAAGTCGCCGGCAGGTTCAAGCTTGGAGGCCGTCTTCCTCAACTGCCTGTCGATCGAGTATCTGTGGAATCCAATGGAAGGTCTCGCGCCCTGGATCTGGCACCGATGGCATCCTCCACGCGCAATTCTCGGAGCAGCTCCACCGGCGAGACAGGGTTCCAACTGGCGTCGAGAAGCGCTGCAATAGCCGCAGCACCTGGCCCACGAACGACTCGCCAGCGTCGGGAACCCGCCGGGCGGAGCTGGCTGCGCATATGCCCCCGCGATCTCGCAATCCTCGCGGTAAAGTGGGCACTCGCGCCACATCTTCAACCGCGCCAAATCCTGCCCTGGACGGATGGTCTTAACAGGGCCCCGCCGATCGTAGACCGACGCCAAAGAGGGCAAGGGACATCGGCCAGGACCTGCACCCGCCGCTCTCCGAGACGCCCGACGTCGCAGCTGGGCCAGCTCATGCCCAGGCCGCCGAACGCACGGCGGGAGCGCGCGCCCTGCAACTTCGAGCCCGCGCCGCAGAGGCCCTCGGTGATGGCGCGGATGCGAGCGCGACGGCGCGCGCGCTTGATGGCCGCGGTGGGCTTCTTCGCCTTCGCGACGTGCTCCCTCGCCTTCGGCCTAGCGCGGAATCTTCTGGAGGTTGCGTCGGCGCCGCGGACCACCGCGCGTCGCGCAAGCGCGACTGGGGCCCCAGCCTCCTCCGACCCCGCGGCGACGCGGCCCGCCCACTTCAACGGCGACGCCACCGCGACAGTCATGCAGCTGATCGCAGGCCCCGCATCAGCGAACTCCTTCGGCTGGGCGGCGCAGGACTCGACTGCCCTGTGCCCGCGCGCTGCTCGGGGCCCTCAGACCTCCGACCCGACAACCGCGTCGTCGAAAGCGCGGAGAATAAGCTGGAGCGCATGTCGCTTGTGAGCTCGCGCCACGATCGGCCCCGAGAACGACCTTGCCAGCCGCCCACGCTGCTGGGGGCCCATGGCTGAGTTCTCCTCTGGACGGATGGCCCTGCCGAACCGCGGCTTGTCCCCCAAGCGCCGCGGCGCCCGGCGAGCGCGGAGCTCCAGGGAAGGGCGATGGCAGGAAAGCCCTGCTGAATTCCAGCAGCACGCATCTTCTTCCAGGTCGAAGAGGAACGTCGCAGCTGAGATCTTTATCTCCTCGCAAGTCTCGCCCGCCAGGGAACGCGTCGATGCCGCCTGGAGGTGGGGGGGGGCCTCGCGTCGCGGTGCCCCCAATGCTCGCCCGCTTCAACAGTCCGCCGCAGCAGCTCTGAACTTCCCATCTCACTCGAGAGCTTCACCAGGAACGGAAGAAGCCCCAAGATGCGATCGCCCCTCTCACGGCTTGAGGGCCGCCGCAGTCATCGCCATGAAGAGCTGTTCTGGCCACGTTCCAGACTCCTCGATGTCGGCCAGCAGCGCCGGCAACTCGTCTCGGGCTTGCGGCGGGAATCCCTGCGCTTCAATGGGGCCCGCGGCGTGAACTCCTTCTTGGTTTACACATCTTTGTAGCCCAAGCTCGGTAGCCCGTTCGGGTCGGGCCTAAGACATCGATGGACCAATGCCGCGACGCTTGAAGCGCTCCGCGTGGCCGACGACGGCCCCCAAATCTTCCTCAGTGCCCGTCTCTATCTGCTGGGCTGAAGCGGCCCAATGAAGAATTACCACATCCACTGCGACAGGTTTCTGCAGCTCCGCGCCCAAGCCAACGTCTAGCAAGTCTCGCATCTCCTGGAGAGCGAGGCATCGATCACCCGGGCGGTCGGCGCGCCTGCGGACTGCCAGCCTGGACAATCAAGTAACGCGAATCCTCCGCGCTTCAAGATGGGGATCCCTCGTGCGCGGCCGAGACGGCGTCGCTCGTGTCCGGTGCCACTAAATTGAATATCCGGGGCCACGTCTTTTGCGTGTCTGGGCATCCTGCCGAAAAAGCCCGCGGCGAGCGATGTCAGCATCTTCAACCGCCTGGAACCAGCGCGCCTACTTCTGAGCAGTCTGGCCACGAAGGCCAGGACCGAGATCAAGAAGAACATGCGGGCGTCCAGCAGGTTAGCGTCGATATGGCTGGGCGCGAGCGTCATCCCAGCAAGGGGCAGGTATATCATGGGGCACCGCAGGTTCAGGATCAGGAAGAGACATAGCAGCCGCGCCCAGGTCGCGAAAGGCTTCGCGCGGATGTGCCACTAGCATCCACTTGCGCTGATCACGCGCAGCTGCCAGCGCCTTCTGAATATTGGTGTCAGGGCCCGCCGCCTTCGACGGTCTCGGGGCCGCCGGTAGCTTGCGCGCGGCAACGAGGCTGCGATGTCACCAAGTTTGCTTCCCAGCCTTCAGCGCAACGCACATCCCAGCATGAGTGCACCAAGGAACTTCAGGCACAATGTCCACTCTGTGGGCGTTGGTCAACCCTTCCTTCGCGATCGCGCAGTCAATCAAGGTGCCTGTGACCCGATTTCAAGTCGCCTTCCAATTCTGTGGTAGACAAAGTTGACCCCCCAACTTCGAAATCCACGACATGCTAGACCAACCAGACGGTCTCGCATTCCAGTCTCCAGCTAAAACACAGGGTCCTTGTGCAGCTTCAGAAACGATGCAAGACGAACCCACATCTGCTCATTTGGGCCCCCTTGAACTTGTGCCCGTGCAACAGGTTGCGCGAAACAACAACGACATTGCAAGCTCGAATGCGACGCGGCACCGGCGCAAAACCACGGAGACAATCTTTGCCAGATCGACGCCCCCCACCCTCACGCAAGGAATCGATAAACAAAAATCGTGCACAATATCCCACGAGAAACCGCCCATTCACCACCAGCGTTGCCATCGACTGACCTGCCCGTCGGAGCAGCAGGCGTGGAGATCACTTCCCACCCACCCGTGCCAATATCTGACTTGGCCAAGGCAAACTTGTCGTCCAGTAATTCCCTCTCAGAGCGCGACGATGTCGCAGGAGGACGCCTGCCCTCTCATGGAGCCACGCGCTATCGGTCCCCATTCAGAAATGCTGGCAAAGAACCGCTTCGAGTCGCACTGCGGCGCGCTGCCCCTGGGGATGGGCTCCCAGAGTGGCCGGCGAACATGAAGTGGTCGAGGTCGCAGAGGGCTAGCAGCCAGCGCCCGCAGGCTGCAAGCGAAGAAGATCCCTGGAAGGATTTCGGGCCAAATCCAACCAGGGTGAGGCGGGGCTACCCGCCACGCCCAGCGGCAGCGGCACTAGCAGCTGAGACAGCGCCAGCAGCACCAAAGCTGCCCTCGCCAGTGCCGTTGGCCTGGCCAACCGCCTTAGCACCAGCATCGCCGCCAGCAGTCTTGAGAGCGCCCTCTGCGGCCTGGTCGGAGACCTCGAAGTGCGCGGCATGGGCGGCAGCGGGCGCGCACGAGGAAGCCGCAGCACCAGCGGTGGGCCCAGGAGGCCCGCCTTCTGCCTGTGACTCGGGGGAAGCAGCCGCAGCAACTTCTTCCTCATCGACCCGCTGGCGTTGCGGCGGGGACGTGCGGATGCCGCTGACCTTCTCGTACTGCGCGTGCACCTCCGCCTGGGACGCTGCGACCTGGTCGCGTTTCTCCTTGATCTGCTTCTCGAATTATTTGAATTCCTCCTGCTGCGCCTCGTCGAAGGAGCCGATGTCCGCGAAGGGGCCGTCGTCGACCGCGAAGACGACCCTGTTCCCGTCAGGGGTGAAGCCCTCGTGGACCGCCTTGATGCTGTCCAGTGCTGCGACCCTCGCCACCGCCGCGTCGTGAGCCATCTTCGCCTGCAACTGCTCACGGACAGCCGTCGAGGCCGCGAGGTTGGCCCCGTATATACAAGCTTGAATGATGTACACTGCAACTTCATAACAGTGCAGATATGTGGAAATGTTTCCTTTCCTTTCTTCCTCCTCTCCCTCTCTCCTCCTTGCAAGTCTTCTCTCCTCTGCCTCTACCTCCTCTTCCTCCTATACCTTCGCCCTCCCTCAACCTCTCCCTCTGGCTCCTCACCTCCTCTACCTCCTCGTCCTGCCCTCAGCTCCCCGGGGGCGCGCTGCCGGCGCTTTCGGCCGGCCTCCTGCCGCGGCGCTCCTCCAGGATCGCCTTGCGTGTGGCGACGGCCCGCCGCAGCAGGCCAGCGCCCACCTCCTTCCTGCGTCGCAGGCCAGTCGGCCAGAGGAGGCGCCGCTGCAGCGCATCCTGCGGCCGGCCTACGGGCCTGATCTCCGCCTCGCAGCGCCAGACCACGCGCTCGAAGTCCGGCGCCTCGCCCCTCCCACAGCGGGGGCAATGCTCCTGCACTGCTGCCCGCCCTTCACGTCGTTGTCCTCGTCCTCCTCCTCCTCCTCCTCCTCCTCCTCCCCCTCTCTCCTCTCTGCCCTTCGCCGCCTGCAAGTGCGCCGGCGAGACGAAGGCTCCAGACATCACGCTGGCCGCGTGCGTGATGCCCTCTGCCGGAAGCCTCGCGGCTTTGCAGCGCCGCTCGTCGTGCTGCTCGAACCGGCACAGAGACGAGTCGATGCGGCTCTGCCCCCGCCACCTCCCGAATAGGTCCGCGCGCCAGCCTTCCCGGAGCACGTGCTCGAGGCGTCCTTTGCACTCAGACCAGTGCTCGCTGCCCTTGCTCAGGCTGAGAATGACGCCCGTGACTGGGTGCCCCCACTCCCACTCGGCGCGTTCCTGCCAGCCGCAGCCCTGCAGGAGAGCGTGGATCCGGCCAGAGCATCCCTCCTGCCTCCTCCAGGTTCCCAGCGTGGCCCGCCGCTGGCCCTTGCAGAGGGTGCGCCACGCTGCCATGAAGGCAGTCGTCATCAGGCGGCACCTGACACTGAGCCGGTGGCCGCGAAAGATGGCCCGGAGGTGGGGGCTTCCTGCTTTGGGCTCCTGCCTCACCCTCGCGATCGCCGCCTGTAGCTGCGTCTCGTCCCTCTTGTTCATCTGCCTGTCGATCCAGCCGTACTCGGGGACTGCCAGCGCCTTGCTTGCCATCGTCGCCTCCTTCATCCTTCTGCAGACTGGCAGGCTCGCACTCTTTTCAAGCATCACCTTGGCCCTCCTCAGCCTCGTCTCCTCCTTCCTGGTATACTTCCCTCCTCTTCCTCCTTGGCGGCCGGTCCCCTTGCAGAAGCCCACCCCGAGGATCTCTGGGGCGTCCGTCACCGTGGTGTCCGGCGCGCCTGCTTTGAGCAGCTGCTTCCTGCCCGCGGCCGTCCGGTGGGCGTGCTGGGACTTCGCCTCGTTCTCCTTGAGGCCCAAGACGAGCGACCACTTCCTCCACTCCTCACCAACTGCCAGCAGCTCCTGCGCAGTGCTGGACTTCCACGACCTGTCGCCCACGAAGCAGGAGAGCTCCGTCCCAGGGAAGCGCGCCACGATGGCGGTGATCGGCAGGTGTAGGACCGCCACCATAGCTATCATGGACCACGGGTCACCCTGGGGCAGCGAGGTGCCCACCTCCTCCGGCTGCCTGAATGTGACTCCTTGGCATTGCAAGTACCGGAGCTGTCCGGTCCACACCTGTTCCAGGATAGCGGCGACCGCGCGCGGGCACCCGAGCTTCCTCAACACCGCGACTGCCAGTTTGGGGTCGGTCTGGTCGAAAGCCAACGTGTAGTCATAGGACGCGATGAAGTCACCCTGGTGGTACGAGTCGATGAGGCGCATGAGCGGCATGTACACCTCTCCAGCCTTGCGTCCTCCAACTGCCTCCTCCCTCCACCATTTCCTCTGCCACGCTTGGGCGCCGGGGGGCCGCAGCGGCACGCTGCCGAGCAGGCGCCGCCAGCAGCTCAAGATGGTGATGGGTCGCAGCGCCTGCACAGCTATGCTCCCATCCTTCTTTCTCCTCCCTTTGCCCTCCTTTGGGAGCATTACTTGCCGTGCCTTGCGCCACTCTGTGGGCACGCAGCCCTGGTCCAGCATAAAATTGAAGACATCAGCAAGGTGGTGGACCACCGCAGGGCAGTAGAGCGAAGCGAGCTCATCTCCGTGCCAGCCGTCAGCTCCAGGAGCGGATCCCCGTGGCCTGCCCATGGCGCCCCGCAGCTCCATGGGACACACGGGTCGCCAGATCTCCTCCGACGCAGGCGGCAGCGTGTCCTCGACCCGTTGCTGCCATTCCTCCTGCGGCGCAAGCTCGCGCCCCCAGACTTTCCTCCAGTGCCGCGCCAGCAGTGCAAGCGCTTTCTGCTCCGTGGCGCTGTCTTCCCTGACCTCGTCCTCCTCGCTCCTCGCCCTCCCTTCCTGCTCCTCGCCCTTGGCCTCCTCCTCCTTCCCCTCTGCGTGCACGCCCGTCGGTGGAATCGTGCGGCCGCCTTCCACCCAGGCGCAGCATGCCCGGAGCGACCCTCGCAGACGGTTGCGCCACCTGTCGATGCGGCCCTGCCTCCGCTGCTTCCGAAGCTCCGCCAACTTCGCCTCGACCTCCTTCAACGTCACCAGCCGATGCTTCGTCAGCCCTTCGCGGATTCTCTTTTCGAGCATTCGACCCTCGGCGCTCTCCTCGCGGCCTTTCCTCCGCAGCCACTGCATGTGCCGCATCCGCCCGCGCAGGTTGTCAAGCTGCTGGATGCACGCCGACGTGTGCGGGTCGTCACATTCCCCGAGCCTGTGCTCCTGGTACCGAAACGTCTGCGTGTTCTTCCTGATGCTCCATCCTCGGATGCTTTCCGCTTCGTTTCCTGCCTCCTCCATGGCCCTCCTCATCGTGCTCCTGAAGAAATGCTCGAGGTAGAGAGACGTCTGCTTCCACACGTCGTCCACCTGTTTCTGCATGGCGTCCATGTCCCGGGGCTCCTCCATAGCTGGGAGACTCGGCGGAGCCATGGTCGCATAGACCTCCCGCTGCAGCTGACACCATCGCTCTGGTTCCACGTGTCCCGGGCAACCCAAATTGGCCGACCTGCCCAGAATGCAATCCGGCTCACGCATGCCCCTGTCGCCCCGGACCACCTGCAGCTGGGCAGCGACGACCAGGTGGTCCTTGAACGAGATGTCCTCCAACGCCGGCTGGTCACAGCACGTCGGGTGCGAGGCTATGTAATAGTCGATGCACCTGCGCCCCTCCCAGCGCGTCGGGACGCAGCCTCCTCTGTCATCCAGCGCCGTCCGGAGACACGCCCCTTCCTCCCGGAGCAGATCCCACAGCAGATTCTCCCCGGGTTCGTCGTTGAAGTCGCCCGCAATGCACCAGGTGTGCTTACGGCTCAGCGTCTCCAGCAGCCCCAACACAAACGACATAGCCTCGTCCCTGGCCTTGCCGGGAGGCTGGTAGAGGTTGACCGTGACCAGGTCCTCGACCCGCACCGCCACCGCTTGCGCGTCCTCACCCACCAGGTGGTCCAGCTGCCGGGAGCGCAGCGCCTTGGACACCAACGTGCAAACCCCACCAGTGGGTCTGCCTGCCTGGTGGGGCGCCGTCGATTGGGCCGCGGCGCCTCCCGAAAAGTAGCTCCTGTAGCCGAACTTGCGCGCGCGGGCCTCGAATGCGGCGCAATCATGGTCCGTGAGCCACACCTCCTGCAAGAATACAACATCTATTTCTGTCTGGCTCGCCGCCTCCAGCGCCTGCCACGATGTCTCTCCCAGCCCCACGTTGACCGTCCACGTCGTGGCCCACGGCCGCCCCTTCTTTGACGCAGGGCCCGGGTGCGGCTCCACGTCCCCATCCTCTTCAAGGTTTCGAACCCACCCTCCAGCTACCGGCGGGGGGCGCACTGCGGTAGCCGTGCCCCCCCAGCACCTTCAGGATCGGGGTGCCTTGCAACCCCACCCTGGCCTGCTCGGTAGCCTCTGCCTCTTCCTCCTCTCTGGTGCTTCCTCTTGCGGTGGCCTCCGCAGCGTGCTCGCTGGTGCCACGGCGTCCTCCTGTCTCCTCGCAGGTGACTCAGCCTCCTCCTTCTTCCTGTGTCTCCTCGCGGGTCCTCTGATCTCCTCCTGTCTCCTCTGCCTCTTCTTACTTCCTCCTGCCTCTGCACTGGTGCTCGGAGCCTCCTCTCTTTCCCTCTGCCTCCGCGCCGGCGCTCCGGCCTCCTCCAGGTCCTCCTCATGCTTTGCCGGCGCCTTCCTCCTGTGTCTCCTCGCGGGTCCTCTGAGTTCCTCTTGTCTCCTCTGCCTCCTCTTACTTCCTCCTGCCTCTGCACTGGTGCTCGGAGCCTCCTCTCTTTTCCTCTGCCTCCGCGCCGGCGCTCCGGCCTCCTCCTGGTCCTCCTCATGCTTTGCCGGGCCCCCTTGGGGTACGAATTGCAGGACTGGCAGTTGTTGGATGGGTCTTCAGCCTCGCGATGTTCTTGTGGGTAATCTACAATTTCGCGTGCTGGTGGACAGGCCTCGCTGCGAATCTAATTCAGCGTGTTGTTGGACGCGCTGGCCATGCAAAAGAGAAAGATAAAGATGAAGATAAAGATGCAGATAAGATGAAGTACGTGCTGTCCGCTCGCTTCTGTGGAGGTCAGAGGTTTCCCTACAGGAGGCTCAGGTCCCACAAAGAAGCCATTCCTGCGTTGCTTGTGTGCGTGGGGAAGCAACAGAACATGAGCGGAGGAGGAAAGAAGAGAGCGATGAGGCAGAGGAAGAGGAGGAAGAGGAGGAGGAGGAGAAAAGAATTCAGGGATGTTGTGCATGAGGGAAGTGGTGATCCAGGTGTAGTTCGGGATGCCGTGAAGATTGGGACGGGGAGAGCGCACGAAGTGGCGGAAAAGCAGGATGAGGAGGAGCATAGGAAAGATCAGGAAGGGAAGCATGAAGAGGCGGAGAAGCATCAGGAGGAGGGACAGAGGGAAGAGCGTGAAGGGAAGAAAGGGCTACGCCGCAAAGATAAGAACAAGTCTTGGTGGAAGGGCGCGCGAGCTAGAAAGGCAGCTCGTGAATTGAGGGGAGGGCCGGAGGAGTCAGAGGCAGAAGAAAGCCAGCCAAAGGATGGAGTACGCCTTCCAGACCACAGGCTTCGAGGTGGAGCTCAAGGATCCGCCGTCACTGCCCGGCAAAGGGCAGAGAAGCAACTACTGGAACAGCTAGCGGCACTTCTGCAAGGGTTCAGCCGCGAAGTTGAAAGCGACAGTGTCCAAGGTCAGGCCGGCGTAGGGAAGAAGGAGGAAAGTACCAGGAGTCAAAGAGGGGAGGCAAAGCGAGGGCGGCAGCAAGCGCAGCCGGACTCCCAAAACAGCCAGAGGAAGAGGGAAAGGCAGAGGAGGAGAAAGGAAGGGTCCGATTTGCTGAACGCATTGACGACAGTGGTCGAGCGAGTCCAACGATCAGGCGACACGGGGACTCTGCTCCAAAGGCTGAGGATGATCGTGGAGGCGGCCACGAGAGGTACCCTGGGAAGCATAGGTGGCGAAGCCGAGCTGAAGGGACCTACGCCGCCTGCCCATGCTGCAGGTAAGGGAGGGGCACGTGAAGGAGGAAGCAAAGGAGGAGGGAAAGGAGGAAAGGGCAAAGGAGGCGAGAAAGCAGGAGGAAGCAAAGGAAGTCAGAAAGGAGGAGGCGGCCGCGAGGACCCGGACGCCCCTCAGCAGTCCTGGGCGCAGCGGCTTAGGACGCAGCAGGAAGGCACAGGAGAGTGGAAGACAATGGCACGAGGCAGACCCAATCTGCGGCTCTGGCCAGGAGACTGGCCGCCAGAGCAGGCCCTCGTGGCGCCGCAGGTGGAAAAAATCATGGAGCAGGGGCGCAAGACAGAGGTCACGAGAGCAAAGCTCATCTTGGCCCACAGTGCCGGGCAGGTTGACTCCATGAGGATGCTTGCGAAGAGCTACGGCATGACGGAAAAGATCGCCGTTGTCCTTGGTTGGCAAAAGGGGCAGGAGGAGGAAGCGCAGAAAGGAGAGGAGGAGAAGTGGCTCAGGATCCTGGGGCTCGGCGGGCAACCGAAGTTGGCCAAGCTCCGAGTGGCCCCACTGGTGAGCGAGGCCGGCCTCCCAGACCTCGGACAGCCCACCCAGGCAGCACGAGGTGAGCTAGGAGAAAAATCGACGGTCCAAGAGGTCGAGGTTGAGGCGGTCCGAGTCATGATGGTCAGGGAGTTTATGGAGGAGAGGGCATGGGAAGCAGCAGTGAGGAGGCCAGCAAGCATCTTCCTCACGTACGCGAAGGACAAGAACATTCTGCACACCTACCGGTGGAACGCGCAGAACAAGTCTGGGAGCCAGGAGACTGTGAGCATCGTGGGCTATGCCAAGGTGCCAAAGGACTCCGTTCCTGCGGTGTTGGCCACCTCGGGCCAGCGAGGCATCTTCGTGGAGCGCCTCAGCAATTCAGGTGCCCGGCCCACGGTCGAACGGTGCTACCAGCAAGAAGAGGAGGAAGCCAAGGAGTACCTGCAAAGAGCGCTCCGAGGAGACAGAGGAGAAGGACTTGCTTTCCGCATGGGAAGGCGCTCGCAACTTGGAGTGCGCCTACCACAAGGAGAGGACCTTGCACTCAAACGGAAAATCGAGGTCGTGGTGTCCGGGGCGCCCAAGCAATGGGGAGCATCGGAAATCACCCGCTTCCTCAAAGATCAAGGGTGGGAGGAGGCAGAGGTGAAAGGATATCCAGCAGGAAGGAGAGGGTGGGTGGTCTCCACCGTGCCCCCAGCAGGAGGAGCGGCGACAGGGATCGGGTACACGCTGGCGGCTGCCGGGGCAAAGGTCATCACGGTGTCCCGCCTGGCGAAGACGCACCGGGCGCCGGTGACCCAGTCCATCAAGTACGCCGGAGGAGGCATCCGCAGCGATCTGCTCAAGAAAGCCGAGGAACCACAGCAGCAGGCGGCGAGAGGGGCCCAGCAGAGGAAGGATGAGGACAAGAAAAAGGAGGAAGTGGAAGCCAGAGAAGGCAGAATGGAGGCAGAGGAGGAGAGAAAGACAGAGGATGCAGGCAAGAGGAAGGAGGATGGCACTGCAGCGAAGCCGCAGGAGAAGAAGACCAAGATAGGAGACGCCACCCATCCCATGGGTGGGACCCTGTGGGACCTCGGTGGCAATGGGGACTGCGGAGTCCGTGCTTGCTGTGGAGTGTGGGGGATCATGCAAGGACGTAATAAAGAAGATATACGGCGAAAGATTCAGGATGAGGCGGCTCAATTGCGATTTTCGGTGGCCCGTGAGGTCGCGAGGAAAGAAGTATTCAAGGATGCTTGGGCCGCGGACCCGTTGGCGACGGTCGACATGGAGGGGGGGCCGGTGCCCCACACGTACAAGGAGTGGCTGGAGGCCATTGGGCGGCCTACGCGGTGGGTCGACGAGTACATGCTCGCAGCCATGGCCAACCGGATGGAGAGGAACATCACGGTGTTCTTGTGGGAGAGCGGCAAGTGGGAAAAAGGCTGGGTCATCCCGCCCTACAACGCCAAGATCGCCCAAAAAGCAAGGCAACACTCCCCAGTTACCGTGTGCCTGAAAGACAAGCACTACTACGGCTTGCTTGTGGACGGCGAGGTGCCCAAGGAGTGGGGGGACCCTCCCCTTCAGGAGAGGGCTTCGTCCGCGTTGCGTGGCTGCGGCTGGATGCCTTCCACCCCGCAGAGCGGCAGGGCGACGGAGACCAGCGCTGGCCCCCCCGAGGGAGGGGCAGCAGCGGCAGGGATGCCAGGGACACCCGTCAGCATGGCGACGGCCGGGCAGCAGGACTGCGAGGCAAAGAGGAAGCAGGAGCAGGACGAGAGGAAAGGAGGCAGCAGCTCCCCAGAGGTGAAGCGATGGATGCCGGCCACTCCTGGCACGGCCGGTCGGCCCTCCGCTCCAGCCAGCACCGCAAGCTGGACACAGCGGAGCCCAGAGGGAGTGAGGAGGAGGTTGAGGGAGAAGCAGAGGCCGAGGACGAGGAGTGAGGAAGGGGTGCCTGAGGAGGCAGCTGAGGATGGCAACTTGACCTGTCAGAGGCAGCCCCGAGGAGGAAAAGGAGGAGGAGGAGGAAGAGAAGGAGGGACAGCAGCAGCCGCCGTACCAGCAGCAGCCTCTGCCGCAGCAGCCGCCGCAGCTGCCTCGTCGAGGGAAGGCTGGATGCCAGCCACGCCAGGAACTGCCAGCCTGCCGCTCGCCCTCCCTAGTGGTGCCGAGGATCGGCCGGTACCCAAAGGGATCAGCACCACCATTGCGGATGGGCTGGAGGAGCTCCGAGGAATGGAGCAGGAGGAGGAAGAGCAGGAAAAGGAGGAAGAGGCAGCTGGGACCGCGCCCCCGCCCGCAGGACGGCTCCCGAGCTGGCGCTGCCCTATTTGCATCGCGGTCCCATGGATCGCCGAAGCCCCCAAGTGGAAAGGTGTGTATGCCAGGAAAGCCACGCACCTACGGAAGGCGCATCCTGAGGAAGCGGTGGCGCTGCTGAGGAACCGGGCGCCGCCGCCGACCCTCATCGAGGCCACGACGGAGCTCCCTCCGGCGCAGAGGGAGTGGACATGCCCACCTTGGGGCGGGCGCAGGGGAGGCTGAGCAGGAGGAGCCATTGGCAGAAGTGTCACGACGACGTGTCGTTTGAGGAGTTTTGCAGGAAGGTGGTCACGAAGCGGAACCTGGCGGTGCAGCAGGAGCGGTTCCCCGAACACGCCCTCGTGGCGCTGCCGTACCGGGGCCACGCCGAACACGTGGAGTACAGGAAGGACGGCACTCGCGTGACCATGACGCAGTTCAGATGCAAGAGGTGCCTGCTCGCGGTGGCGGGTGCCAGCGTGGCCTCCAAGCAGCTCCGGCATGGGCTTTCATGCGAGCAGAACCGCCACTACACGCTCACGGACAGCAACGCGCGCTCGCAGCTGCGGGAATGGTGGCTCGAAGTGCGGAAGGCTGGGGAGGAGGAGACTTTGAGGAAGCTGGAGTGGGACAGGGAGTTCTTGATCTTCTTGGTCGATGACTGGTGCCCGGTTGCGCACACGTATGCACCCTACAGGAGACGTCCCGGTGAGGGTGCCGAAGAGTACAGGGAGCGCACGAGCCACGTGCGAGCCCAAGCACTGGCGCACAGGATCAAGTACAGGCGGAAACATTGGAATCCCAGGCAATCACGAAAGAAGGAGGCGGCCAAAGGTTGCAGGGCGCCGGCAAAGCATGAGGAGGACGAGGTTGGCCCCGTCCCGGCAGCGACGACGGCAGCAGCAGCAGACTTGAGAGCCGCATTCGTCTTCTCGAGCTCGCGGGCAGTGGTGTCGTAGCTCGTGTGGGGGTCGGGACGACAGCCGACTGCTGCTCGTAGCGGTCCTTGGCTGCCTGCAGCGCGCGCACCGTGCCAGCGAACATGGGGAGGCGGGCGAGCTGCGCCAGGAGGGCCGACGGGTCGTCAGTGAGTGCTGGCGGGCCACAGCCACCCGCCCAGGCGCGCCCGTGGCCACTGTCCCACCGGGGAGGATTTGCTGCAGCCCTCGAGCCCTGGTGGAACGGCATGTCCGACCCGCACTTCGCACACTTACCTGCTTTCTTCTTGACACTGAAGTTGTAGGCCCAATTGCCACAAGACGCGCTCCAAGAGAAAGACACTTTTACCATGGGCATGTGATGACAGTGAGAGCAAGGCGACGTGTCGCGATGCCGCTTAAAATGGGGATGGAACCCCAATGCAGTACCTGAAGCTCGGAAGACCGGTAAAGGCCGCTGATCCCCTGTGCCAGAACCTCTTGCCCGCTAGTGCCCGCTGCTGGCTCGTGAAGAACGCTTCGGACTTGAGCCGAAATCGCTACGGAGAGGTGGGAGGATGAAAAAGAGGACCAATGTAAACCCAAAACGCATCAACGATGTTGCAATACACTCTCCCTCCAAATTCCCTCCTTATCGACCCTTGCAAGAATGTATTTCCTTTTCGGGGAATGCCCCACTCCAAACAAACGTGCAAATATTCCGGAACCGTGCCAAAAAACATAATTCCTGGGACTTCAACACCACGACTCAAGGTGACTGTTGCGTCCAAGCAATCCAAACCTGTGCCAAAACATAAAATTGCTAGGACTTCCATGCCACAAATCCGACCGACTGTTGCGTCCGGACAACCGTACGTACATCGTACCAGAGCGCCGTTCCCGGGACTTCAACACCTCGAATCAACGTGAGTGCTGCGTCCTGACAAGCCAGAATCTCGCCAGAAAACCATTCTTGGGACTTCAACCCTGCGAACCTTCAGAACAAAACGAATGTGCGCGGCGCTAAAGATGAATTGCCGCCAAGCATTCGCGACCGAACCCACGCGTCTCCCGACGGTGGTCAGGGTTGGCTGCTTCATGTGTCACGGTGTTGCTGTCATGTAATGCTTTCGGCCGGTGCACAATGTCACGCTTTCGTCGCGCAGCGATACTGCAAAAAACTCATGCGGCTCTCTCTTTTTGAAAGAGCCACATTCTGAAAATGAGCCGCCTTCCATCTTGGAAGCTGTTGCAAACTTTTGAAACGAACGCGCGCGGCGCTTACATGAGACCAACATTCGGAAAACCCCTCGTCCACCACCCATGAAACTGATGCAAACGTGTCAGACGAATGTGTGCGATGCTAAAGGAAAACAGCATCTTGAATACGACCCGCCTTCCATCCGTGAAGCTGTTGCGACAAATATCTGCGCGGCGCTAGGATGACAACAACAGTTTGAAAACAAGCCTCCTTCCATCCTGGCAACGGTGGCAGTTGTTGTTAAGAATGTGCGCGGCACTAGAGCGAAAACCATCCCTTGAAACCACGCGCCCTCAATCTGGAAAATTACTGCAAACTTTTGACAAAATTGTGCGCGGTGCTATGGCGAGAACTACATTTTAAAACGACCCGCTCTCCATCCGTGAAGCTGTTGCATATTTCAAGGTTCGTGGTTGTAAATGGTGAGGAAGGCTCGGGTGAAACGCCCGGCCCGCCCTACCGACACGCCCGGGGGTGCGAAAAGGGGGAATTGCTGATTGGGAACAAGATGGGGGTAGAGGCGTGGGCGATTATGAAGGAAGAACATACAGGAGAAGGAACCTTCCTCTCCATCGCACTCCCGACTCCTCCTCCTCCTCCGCGCCCTTCCCCTCCAACGCACCTCGCCGTTCCTCGGCCCCCGATCCCTGGACCCTCCACCCTTCCCTCCAGGGAAACCGAAAGATACCGATATTGTTACTCCCTGGGCCTCTCCCGTAGTGCGTTCTGACCAGACTTGCAAGCCGAAGCAAGCCGCGGCGACGAAGGCTCCCGAGGCCCCAAATGGCGAAATCAATGCACATGCAACGGTCTGGGCACCTCCTCCTCCTCCTCCTGCTCCTCCTCCTCTGACCCTCTGCCTCAACTCCTCGGGGCGCCCAGGGCCCCCCGCGCGGCCGACCTCGTAGAGCCAGTGCGAGGCCACCCTCTGCAGCGCAAAAGAGCGCTCGGAGGCCTTGGCGTCGCCGTTGATCCCCAGGCTCTGCCTCATCTTGTTCCACCTCGCCAAGAGGGGCGAACGAGAATGAACAAGTTTCTGTTTTTGGAGGGTGCGCGACGATCGTTCTGCCGATCAACGCGTCACTCTGTCCACCGCGGGCGTCAGGAATAGACCAGGGAACGATGCGAATCAGCCCTTGAAAAATGTCAGCATCAAGGGTGTGAGGAGGAGGAGAAAGAGGAGGAACGTTTAGGAACCTTTAGTTTAACCAGAGGCCCAATCGGACCACGCACCCCAGGCGAGAGGAACGAACACCACGCAGGCACCGAGGCCCCATGCGTGGCCCTCGCTCCCAAAGCCTTAGCTGCGGGGCCCTCTCGGGGACTGGCGCACGCTCGGGCTCGGTTCGAGAGCTCCCATGCCCGAGGGGCCGTGCTACACCCAACGACGCACACGGAAACCCTGGGCAGGCACCGAGGCCCCTACCCAGACATGCACGCGCCCCGATACATACAGGTTTCACAGCGTACACCTGACGGGCCCCCTCACAAATCAGTCCTCGCCTGCGGCTGAGCAGGCTGCGCACCCCGCGCCGCGGGTCCATCGAGCCACAGCTCATGGGAACCCGCTCAGTTCAAGGGCTCGCCGAAGACGACGACGAAGGCCCCGAACAGCCTGGCCACGACGGTCACCAGTCTGCCGTCGCAACTGAGCCCCAGCTCTCCACGTAGCGCACTCGGCCCTCATCCCATCCCCTTGCGGATACGGGTGACGCCGGCATCATCGTCCCACCTGCTGCCAGCCCAGGCACCTCAGCCCACCTCCCGCAGCGACTCCTGCATGGGGAGCTTCACGTAGAGACCGTGCTCCAACCAGGTCTGGCGTCACATGCCGCCGAGACGGGTCCGCGCCCGCAGGGGGCCTGCCCCGAGGAGCTCCCCCGACCGCCCTTCGTGCTCCCCGGACACCACGAAGATCCGCTGCATCTCGAATCCGCCCTGCCCCGCCTCGATCTGCGATGGGTTCAGATCACAACCGGTCGCGTGAGATCCCAACCGGACGGTTCAGATCCCAACCTTCTTAAACACCAGGCGCGGTCAGATCCCAACCGAGGAGGAAGCGAAGAAAGAAAACATATGGAAGTGCCACCATACTTGTTCATTGCTATCTGAAATTGCGATGGACACCTTACAGGAGCAGATGTACGCGTGAGCTATTGCGGTTGGGATATCGCGCGTCTTTTGCTGGATCGCAGTAGTGGTAGAAATAGTCGTAGTAGTCGTAGTAGTAGTAGTAGTAGTAGTAGTAGTAGTAGTAGTAGTAGTAGTAGTAGTAGTAGTAGTAGTAGTAGTAGTAGTAGTAGTAGTAGTAGTAGTAGTAGTAGTAGTAGTAGTAGTAGTAGTAGTAGTAGTAGTAGTAGTAGTAGTAGTAGTAGTAGTAGTAGTAGTAGTAGTAGTAGTAGTAGTAGTAGTAGTAGTAGTAGTAGTAGTAGTAGTAGTAGTAGTAGTAGTAGTAGTAGTACTAGTAGTAGTAGTAGTAGTAGTAGTAGTAGTAGTAGGTAACGCCGTGCCCGTCCGGGCCGTGTAGTAGTGAACCGCTGTTCTGAAGATGTGTCGCTGTCTTTCTCTTTACTTGGCACTGAAGTATATGTTTTAGAAGTTTATGTGGCCGATGTTGGATCCCAGAACATAAATTTACCTTAAGAGTTTGAGACTCGGTTTTCGGTTTTAAGTTGCCCCCCGTCCATACAATCGAGCATGATGGAAACGAACGCCGTCTCCGTCCGGGCCCGCCGTGTTCGATTTCGAAGATATTGCATTGCTTTGCATACATATATATATACACGCACAAGTATATGTACACACGCGTACATGTATATACCTATACCATATATACCTATACATGGACATCCGCGTATTTATATACATGCATATTTACATACATGCGTACATACAAATTCACACATATACATTTATGTGCAAATAAATAAAAATAAATAATTAGATATGTGTGTATATATGTATATGCATATACATCTGTATATATATATATGTATATGTGTATATATGTATATATACACATATATACATATATACATGTATATATACATACATATACATATACATATATATATATATATATATATTCCAACAGCTTTCCTTAGCATCCCCTTAGGACTCGCTAGCATTTCTTCCGGATTCCCTGAGGATTCCTTCAGAAATCCTGGGCGCTTATACACTTCAGGGATTCTTGAGGCGCGCAAGCGCGAACCCGGACGGGAAGGGCGTGCGGTCTGTGCAAGGATTCGTTCGGATTCCATTCGGATTCGCTGAGGATTCGATGGGATTCCTAAGATCCCTTAGGGTTCCTTCGGATTCGTTCGCATTCCTTAGCATCCCCTTAGGATTCGCTAGCATTCCTTCAGGATTCCCTTCGGACACCCTCAGGATTCCCAGGCGCTCATACACTTCATGGATTCCTGAGGCACGCAAGCGCGAACGCGGACGGGAACGGCGTGCGGTCCGCGCAAGGATTCCTTAGGCTTCCATTCGGATTGGCTGAGGATTCGGTAGGCTTCCTTCGGATTCCTTAGGATTCCTTCGGATTCGCTAGGTTTCCTTAGCATTCCCTTCGAATTCGCCGGCATTTCTTTAGGATTCCCTTTGGATTCCCCCAGGATTCCTATGCGCCTGCGCACTTCGATTGCAAAGGCGCGCAGGCGCGAACCCAGACGGGAACGGCGTGCGGTCTGCGCAAGGATTCCTTAGGATTCCATTCGGATTCGCTGAGGATTCGGTGGGATTCCTTCGGGTTCCTCAGGATTCCTTAGGATTCACTCTGTTCCCTTGGGATTCCTTTCGGATTCGCCAGCATTTCTATAGGATTATTTTAAGGTTCCCTCAGGATTCCTAGGCGCTTATACGCTCCAGGGATTCCTGAGGCGCGCAAGCGCGAACCCGGGCGGGAACGGCGCGCGGCCTGCGCCAGGATTCGTTAGGATTCCATTTGGATTCGCTGAGGATTCGGAGGGATTCGTTCGGATTCCTTAGGGTTCCTTCGGATTGGCTGGCATTCCTCAGCATTCCCTTCGGATTCGCTCGCATTTATTCAGGATTCCCTTAGGATCCCCTCAGGATTCCGGGGCTTATACACTTCAAGGATTCCTGAGGCGCGCAAGCGCGAACACGGACGGGAACGGCGCGCGGTCTGCGCAAGGATTCCTTAGGATTCCATTCGGATTCGCTGAGGACTCGGTGAGATTCCTCTGGGCCCCTTCAGGTTCCTTCGGATTCGCTAGCATTCCTTCGGCATCCCCTTAGGATCCGCTAGCATTCCCTTAGGATTCCATTCGGATTCCTTCAGGATTCCTAGGCGCTCATGCACTTCAAGGATTCCTGAGGCGCGCGAGCGCGAACAGACGGGAACGGCGTGCGGTCTGCGCAAGGATTCCTTGGGATTCCATTCGGATTCGCTGAGGGTTCGGTTGGATTCCTTAGGGTTCCTTAGGATTCCTTCGGATTCGCTCGGATTCCTTAGCGTTCCCTTCGGATTCGCTCGGATTTTTCAAGATTCCCTTAGCATTCCTTCAGGATTCCTAAGCGCTCGTACCCTTCAGGGATTCCTGAGGCGCGCACGCGCGAACCTGGGCGGGAACGGCGTGCGGTCTGCGCAAGGATTCCTTAGGATTCCCTTCGGATTCGCTTGGGATTCGGTTGGATTCCTTAGGATTCCTTACGATTCCTTCGGATTCGCTATGTCCCCTTCGCATTCCCATCGGATTCGCTAGCATTCCGTCAGGACTCCCTTCGGATTCCCTCAGGATTCCTAGTCGCTTTTACACTTCAGGGATTCCTGAGGCGCGCAGGCGCGAACCCAGACGGGAACGGCGTGCGGTCTGCGCAAGGGTTCCTTAGGATTCTATTCGGATTCGCTGAGGATTCGGTAGGCTTCCTTAGGATTCCTGAGGATTCCCTTCGGATTCGCTAACATTTCTTCAGCATTCCCTTAGGATCCGCTAGCATTCCTTCAGGGTTCCCTTAGGATTCCCTCGGGATTCCTAGGCGCTTATGCACTTCGGGGATTCCTGAGGCGCGCAAGCGCGAGCCCGGACGGGAACGGTGTGCAGTCTGCGCATGGATTCCTTAGGATTCCGTTTGGATTTGCAAAGGATTCGGTAGGATTCCTTAGGACTCCTTCGGATTCGCTCGGTTTCCTTAGCATTCCCCTCGAATTCGCTAGCGTTCCTTCAGGATTCCCTTAGAACTCCCTCAGGATTCCAAAACGCTTATACGCTCCACGGATTCCTGAGGCGCGGCAGCGCGAACCCGGACGGGAACGGCGCGCGGTATGCGCAAAGATTCCTTAGGATTCCATTCGGATTCGCTTCGGATTCGGTGGGATTCCTTAGGATTCCTTAGGGTTCCTTCGGATTCGCTAGCATTCCTTAGCATTCCCTTAGGATTCGCTGGCATTTTCAAGATTCCCTTCGGATTCCCTCAGGATTCCTAAGCGCTTATACACGTCAGGGATTCCTGAGGCGCGCAAGCGCGAACCCGGACGGGAACGGCGTGCGGTCTGCGCAAGGATTCCTTGGGATTCCATTAGGATTCGCTGGGGGTTCGGTGGGATTCCTAAGAATTCCTTAGGATTTCTTCGGATTCGCTAGCATTCCTTAGCACCCCCTTAGGATTCGCTAGCATTCCTTCAGGATTCCTTTAGGATTCCCTTTGGATTCCTAGGCGCTCATGCACTGCAGAGATTCCTGAAGCGCGCAAGCGCGAACACGGACGGGAACGGCGCGCGGTCCGCGCAAGGATCCCTCAGGATTCCATTACGATTCGCAAAGGAATCGGTGGGATTTCTTTAGTAATTCCCTCAGGATTCCTTCGGATTCGCTAGGCCCCCTTAGGACTCCCTTCGGAGTCGCTATCATGTCTTCAGGAGTCCTAGGGATTCCTAGGCGCTTATACACTTCAGGGATTCCTGAGGCGCGCAGGCGCGACGCCGAGCGGGAACGGCGTGCGGTCTGCGCGAGGATTCCTTGGGATTCCATTCGGATTC